TGCATGTTTTCCCAGTCATGGAGACCAACCTTAAATTTGCTGTTTCAATAAAAATTGCAAAATCACAAATTTGGTAGTCTGTATATATAAGGTACCAGTTATCACTCTTTTGGGAGAACTTTCTTATTAGGAGAGGGAATTGAGGGATTTAAATATAATTTGGAAGAACTGAAAACTGTCTTATTAATTTTCCACTTTTTCCCCTTCTCTTTCAGGTCAAAAAAGTTTTTTAGCTTTATAGAAGGTTGTTTAGTGAAGAACTACATGCAGAGGCCTTCTACAGAACAGCTTTTAAAACATCCTTTTATACGTGATCAGCCAAATGAAAGGCAAGTCCGAATCCAGCTGAAGGATCATATAGACAGGACCAGAAAGAAGAGAGGAGAGAAAGGTATGCAGACTTTTAAAACTTAGTTTGTTTTTTAGATGTTTAATAAAAAATAATCAGTATTATTGCAAATAAAAGAAAAAAGGACTTTTTTTTTATAATTGAACCTCCACATTGAAAGATTCCTTTCAAATTTTGTCTTGCCTTTTCCACACAGTTTTAATTGTAAGAATCTCTCATAGTTTCACTCACTACAGTATTACCTACATAACTTAAATATCACACTATCTACAAAGATATTTGGGATTGTGTACCCTCTCATTTGTTTTGCTTATACATTCGTTCCTCGAGTTATGCCATAATTGGAATTTACATTAAGTAAAGATGCTGAAGTATTTGGATATAGACAAATATAGCAGCTGCATCGCTATCAAAGGACACTGATACAGGCTGTTGGGATACAACTGTCACTGTCTGCATAATTCTGTAGCGAGACACATGTAGCAAAACTACTCCAACTTTAACTGCTTCATCCAGGGTCACAACAGGAATGTACGTTTGTCCATGCCCTTTTTCTTTGGGTACTTGAACAGGAGATGTTAAAATTTTTGTTAGGCTGTGAAGAGATACAACTTCAAAACATTTAAAAGGGAAGGGGGACTTGTTTGTGGACCATACATCAGCTCTTGTGATAAAACTGCTGTCTATCTACACCTACGACAGTATAAGTGGAGTTAAATTTGAAGAAGACAGGTTTACCATTACAACAATTTGGCACCAAATGTAATGCTATAGGAGCAGACAGGTGTAACTCTTATTGTAGTATTATATTTATATACTGATGTTACTGTTACCTCTGTGTCTGCCCTGAATAATTTCTGATGTTTAGAATCAGACAAGAAATTTGGTATCATCAAAGGTACTTCATTAAAAGTTAGTGGGCAGGTGCATATCCTGCTTTAGGGACAAAGGAAGCCTTGTTTTCTGCTCCCAACATGTCTAGGTATGTTGCAGTTTGACAGTTTGCTCCACAATCAGAATTGTATTATTCTGGTACCAGTGCAGCAGGTGGATGACTGTGCTGATGCTAGACCAATGGTAGGAGCTTATGGATAAAACTAATGGTGTTTCCTTGGGTGTGTCAGCTGAGGTCATAAATGAATAGTTCCAATGGGCTTTATGTAAACTTGGTTGACTTTAAGCTATTCAGAATGGGATCATGGAGGGCACCTGAGTAGAATCTAAATACCACATTTTTCTAGAATACGTAACATCGTCTGACCCCAGCACTCTCCCCTGCCTAGGCAGGGGGTCAGACTCGATGATCTGTTGAGGTCCCTTCCAACCCCAACATCTATGAATCCCAGATTGTAACACCACCACCTTTTTTAAAGCTGGAATGAAGTAAAAATTATCTTTACTTATAGTAACTGACTAGCAGCTAAGGAGCAGAGCCTGCTTGTTCTGCTCCCTGTGAGTGGTGTGCAGATTTTACCTTCATGTTTGCTCTTAGTGACATACTGTTATTACTGTATTGCTTGCAAACATAGCACACTTAAATTTCCAGGAGCTGGGGGGAGGGGGCTGTTGTACACAAAAAAAATGGTATTTTAAAGTAGTAGAAAAAAATGTAATAGCTACCTAGAATGTTATTTCCTCTCTTACTTGCCAGATGAGACAGAGTATGAATATAGTGGAAGTGAGGAAGAAGAGGAGGAAGTGCCTGAACAAGAAGGAGAACCGAGGTAACAAATGCTGGTGGGAGATCATTGAGCAGTCTAGACCAATACATTTTAAACCTGCATTGATAAATCTTATCGAATCATTACATAGAGTATTCAGCATGCACATTAGTGTCGCATGACTGTGAAAGATTTCAAAGTTTACTTGGATTTCTCAAGATTTTGAAGCTTTCCATCTTGGCTACTGTAAACACTGACATTTCTTAGAACTTACTTGGGTATGGGAGGTTCACAGTGAACAAGCTTGGGTCTAAGTAAAGAAGCAAGTGAAGCTCTCCTTAATCAGCTATCTCCCAGACTTTTAAAGAAAAACCATGGGATTCTGGCTTGGGAACTAGAGTTGGTTCTTTTCTCTGACCTGATTTTACACCTTCCAGGGAGAGTGCATATTTGATATGCATCCAGTGTCTTGGTTGTGAAAGAAATGAGATTAATAAAAGATGTAATTAGGTTAAACTTTAATGCCTATGCTTCAGGGTAGGTATACAATGGCCCATCAGGCTTTATGGTATGGGCGACTTCACTTTCTCCTTTTTGCAGCTCCATTGTCAACGTGCCTGGAGAATCAACCCTCCGACGTGATTTCCTGAGGCTGCAGCAGGAAAATAAGGAGCGGTCCGAGGCCCTTCGGAGACAGCAGCTGCTCCAGGAACAGCAACTCCGAGAGCAAGAGGAATACAAGAGGCAGCTGCTGGCAGAAAGACAGAAACGCATAGAGCAGCAGAAAGAGCAAAGGAGGCGGCTGGAAGAGGTAGCAATAGAAGAGTTCTTAAGAGTTTTTCTGCCCCAGTTGTTAAGAAATATTCCTAGTCGACCCAACATTTCATGCAAGAGAAATGCATAGTTGTTGGCCAGTGCATCTATAAAAAGAGGAGCATTTAGAAAGGCTCTTAAATCCAGATTTGCTCCCTCAATAAATATAAGGTGTTTTATTTCCAAGTGCTGAATACCCAGGAGTTTCCATAGGAAACTGCTGATGCCTAGACCCATTGTCTGGTCTCCTGAATGGTGATACATGTCTGCCCGTTTTGTTGTCTCCACTTAGAAGACCGGGAAATAGGTTTGGACTTTGAGTAGCTATAAAGAAGGGAAGACTTTTTAATTATTCATTCTTAGTTTACTTGAAACAGACTGAGGTTACTTTTAGAAATTTTTGTGGAGCACACGGAAGTTCTTAGATTTATCATAAATACCTGTGTTTATACATTAATACATCATATGGGGAAAGCTGTTTTTGATGGTGTGCTCTTATGTAGCATACCATTTGTATCAAGAACACATGATTTATACTATACATATCAAAAATAATTTTACCAATTGTCCTGAATACATTTTCCCCCATACCTTTCACATGAAGTTCTTTCGTAAGCCCCTGCTACAGGTAGACTCTTGCCCACTTACATTTTAGGGATAAACTGAATAACTGTTTATATATTGCTTGGTAGTTTTCATTCAGAAGCTTTTGTGACAGCACCCTGTCCCATTTGAATCCATCTTGATTTTTTAGAAACACCAAAATATTTTAAAAGTGCCCAAGATGTTCAGTGAAAAAAAAATAAACAAATGGGTCAGATCTTAAAAGTGGAAAGGTTTCAAAACAATTTTGAAGGCCAAAACTGGATATGGGAGTTAAAGTGAAACCAGTCATCTGGCTCTGCAGGAAGTGCAGGATCAAATTCCAGTTGTCCTCACATGACCCTTGTTTGATTTGTTGTTTCAACTGCTCACCCAGCCTAGTTTTTTCCAAACATTGTAATGAGGTCATAACACTGAAACCAGGACCATCACAGCTCCATCACATTGCAGTATAAGTTTTCAAGATTCACATTATGTTTTTACACAATTAATAATGTAACATGGAATTCAGAAGAGCTTTACAGGATGTCTCTAAGTCTCTTTTAAGTCATTCCCAAATATGGGAGTGAATATAGTGCTTACGTTAGGTGAACTCAACCACAGGTGAAGCAGGAAGTGGGGTAGGCAAGTTCTTTCTCCTGTACCCCTCTCAAATTGCCAAGATAAACTTGGTTGCTATTCCAGGTGTTGGCTTGTAGTAGTACCCACAGAAGTGAGTGGAAGCTAGCAAACTGCCTAGCCCCCATAGACGTTCTCTGTCAGTACAGAGGCAGGAAAGGATCTTGGAGTCATCACTGACTCCAAGATGA